TCTCATCGGCTTACACGCTTCCTGAGGAGTACTTCATCAACTGTGGATCAAGGTCCAACTTCACAGGCAGTGGAAACCAGAACTTTGTTGGTGACCTGAATTCCGGCTTTCATTCCCTTGTAGGACGAAGCAGACCTCTTACGGATGCAAGTCCCTCAGCAGGCGTATCTCTACTCTATCGGTCTGCAAGAATCTTCCGACAGCCTTCTTTCTACGAGTTTGTGATCAAAAAGAACGGCACCTACTTTGTACGTCTCCATTTCTTTGTGTTTTCATCTCCTGCAAATCTAACCAATGCTAGATTCAATGTTTCAGCTTCAGGATTTTGGTTATTACCGAATTTTAATGTCAAGAATAGTAGTGGTTCACCTGTCATTAAGGAATTTTTAATCACCATCAATGTAGGAAGTTTTAGAATCAACTTCATGCCTGCTGAAGGATCACATCTAGCTTTTGTAAACGCCATTGAAGTCTTTCTTGCCCCTGAAAGTTTCATCCGTGATAACGCCACTCGCATTAGTCCTTCAGGAAGTAGAAATTCTTTTGACGGTTTGCTGTCTCAGGTGTTACAAACCCTCTACAGGATTAATGTTGGAGGGCTTACCCTCACACCAGAAAATGATACATTGTGGAGGAACTGGAAACCAGACGATAGTTTCTTGTTTAATTCAGAAGCTGCTAGGAACAGTGAATTTTTCGCTGATACACCTAAATTCCAGCTTGGAGGAGCCACAGTATATGATGCCCCAAGTCTTGTCTATAAGACTGCAAAAGAATTGAATATAGATGGTCGCAGGCAATTGAATTTTTTCAATATAACTTGGAGTTTTACTGTGAGTAAGAATTCTTTATACTTTGTTAGGGTGCACTTTTGTGACATTATTAGTGTGTCTCTTGATGCTATTATTTTCAATCTTTATATCTACAACAAATTTAGCAAGAAGATCAGTTCGTATGATCAAATAGGCCAGTTGGCAGCTCCATTTTACATTGATTTTGTGGTTGATTCCGATGAATCTGGAATAATGAACATAAGTATAGGCCCTCGACGTGATTCTCAGAATCAAAACGCCTTTCTGAATGGGCTGGAAATAATGGAGTTAATGAAGAAATCAGATTTTGTTTTGTTCCCAGTGAAGCCTAAAAGTAAACGGAATAGTCTCTTCGCTATAGTTGGTTCCGTTGGTGTGGGGGCATTTGTTATTGTTTTGATAGTGATAGTGCTTCTGAGTTTGAAATGCAGGAAAGCAAAACCTGAACAATCCCCAGGTTGGCCTTTGTCTGCGCCTCTATATGGAAGAGGGAGTTCTTACAACAGGATATCTGAAAAATCTGCCAATAAATCCCCTTCCAATTTAAATCTTGCTCTGAGAATATCTTACTATGAAATTGAGCAATCAACCAAGAACTTTGCTTCCAACTTGCTGATTGGAGAGGGCGGATTTGGAAAAGTCTATGAAGGAATGTTACGTGGTATGAAAGTTGCTGTGAAAAGGAGTGAACCAGGACACGGCCAAGGCATTCTGGAATTCCAAACAGAGATTGTGGTCTTATCTCAAATTAGCCATCGTCATCTTGTTTCCTTAATTGGATATTGTGATGAAAGATCTGAAATGATATTGGTTTTCGAGTTCATGGAAAAGGGCACTCTTAGAGACAATCTCTATTATTCAACTGCCAATCTTGAGAACTCATACAGTGCACGATCCGAACTATCTTGGAAGCAAAGACTTGAAATTTGCATTGGTGCAGCAAAAGGCCTTAATTACCTACACACTGGTTCAGCTGGAGGAATCATCCACAGGGATGTTAAGTCAACAAACATCTTGCTTGATGAACAGTTTGTGGCCAAAGTTGCTGATTTTGGTCTTTCAAAATCTGGCCTGCCCGATGTAGAACACAGTGTTGATGTAAAGGGAACCTTTGGCTATCTTGACCCTGAGTACTTCATATCACTGCAATTGACAGATAAATCTGATGTTTACTCTTTTGGCGTTGTACTCCTGGAAGTACTTTGCGCTAGGCCAGCAGTTGTCACCTCAAATAGGAGGGAGGAAGTGAACTTAGCTGAATGGGGAATGCTTTGGATGAGGGAAGGTCAACTTGAGAAAATTGTTGATCCAATGCTAGTGGATAAAATTAACCCTAACTCGCTGAGGAAGTTTGCTGAAACAACGGAGAAGTGTTTGAAGCCATCTGGTAGTGAAAGGCCTAGTATGCGTGATGTGTTGTGGGACTTAGAATATGCATTGCAGCTTCAGCTAACTCAAATGAACAGAGAGCCACTTGAAGACAGTACAACCAATGCTTCATTGGAGTTTTCGATGCCTGCTATCCAACGTTTACCTTCCAATAGCTTTCCAGCCGCTGATGACGAAGATGCGACTGTAGTATTTGATGATGCTTCAGATGAAACTGCTTGTGAAGCATTCTCAAACTCGAGGATTGGTGACGCCAGATAATTTCCCATGGTTTAAAGGTAAAACTACGTATTGTAACTTGCCCTTTTTTTTTTTTTGTATATTTTTCTGTTTTATCCGCTTTCCATAAATCTTCATGTTGCAAAACGACTCACTGCCAGGATGATTTGTAGGTTATATATTATAATAGAGATCACTTTTGGAAACATTTTGCTTTTCTTTCCTCTTTTTTAAGAGAATTTAGAAGAAGAATATTGTTTCTGGAAAATACTAAGAACACAACGGCTTCTTGTATTAAAGCTTACATGCTCTCCTAGATACAAGCAAGACTCCATAGATTTAGCCTCGCCAAAACAAAATTAAAATGAGTCAGCTGAGCACAGAGAACGATGGTACTGTTTTCTGTGCTCTGCAACAGTAGCAACAAACATGGCTGTTAGGGCTTACATTTGACTAGAGTTGTTAACTGGTAGAATATTGAGGTACTCGAATTTTAATTTTATAAGATATAAATTATATGAATTTTATTAACTATTTAAATATTTTTTAAAATTATTATCTTAATCCAAACTTTAATATATCTTTACTATTCTATAATTACTTTAGTTCATTTAAAAATCTTATTATATAAAAAATTATTAAAATATTATTCATGAGTATCTAATTACCTAAATTCAAATTTATATCCGTATTCATATACGATAATATTTCTTTTACATATTTTATATAATTTATTAATAATTAAATTAATAAAAACACACAAATAATAAAATTTAAATTTAAATAATCCAAAACAAATATTTCAAATATAATTAATAAATTTATAAGTTATAATTTTTATAATGTTAACATAAAATAAAAAGTAAATATGTTTATATTTAAAGTATATACATACTAAAAATATTTTAATATATATAATAGTAATTATATTTTTTATAAATAAATTCAATGTATATAAAGTATATATATATTAAAAGACATTATAAGTTAATTAATAATTATAATTTTATTATTTAATTTAATTAACTATATGAGTTTATCCTTAATTATATAAAATTAAAAAAAATAACTAAATTTCAAAACTATTCTAATCTCATAACTTCCCTTTAGATTTAGATGTTATAAGTTTAAACAAATAAAGGTATATATATTGTAATTAATAATTTTATGAGTTATAATTTTTGTAATATTAACACAAAATAGAAAGTAAATATGTTTATATTTAAACTACATATATACACACACCTATACATCAAAAATATTTTAATATATATAATAGTAATTATATTTCTTATAAATAAATATAATATATATATACAAGTTAATTAATAATGATAGTTTCATGAATTAATTTAATTAACTATACTGATTTGTCCTTAATTACATAAAATTAAAAAAAATAACTAAGTTTTAGAACTATTATAATATTACAACTTCTCTTTAAATTTATATAAGCTTATATAAATAAAGTTATATATATTATAATTAATAATTTTATAAATTATAATTTTATAATGTTACACAAAATAGAAAGTAAATATATTTATATTAAAAGTATATATATATTAAAAATATTTTAGTATATATATAATAGTAATTATATTTCTTATAAATTAACACAATATATAAACTACACATATTAAAAGACATTACAAGTTAGTAAATAATAATAGCTTCATAAAATAATTTAATTAATTATATGAATTTTTTCTTAATTTCATGAAATTTAAAAAAAATACTTAAGTTCCAAAACTATTTTAATCTCAAAAGCTTTTTTTAAGTATATATATTATAAGTTTATATAAACAATAATATATATATATTATAATTAATAATTTTATAAGTTATAAGTTTTGTAATGCTAACATAAAATAGAAAATAAATATATTTAAATTAAAAGTATATACATATATGTATATAACAGGAATTATATTTTTTATAATATGATATAATATTTATATTATTTATACATAATTAACAATTTAATAATTTTTTAATTTAAATAT